CTCGAATCCCGAGAACAATTTTCCCTGGGTGAGAGGGGAGAGGGAAGCAATTCGACGCGGTCAACATCGCGAAACCTCGTGGTATTTGTTTGGCGAAACCATGGAAATCCATGTCTGCATCGTAAACGTTGGCCTTACTCGCGTGGAATGTATATCAACCCTTTCCAACCGTGTTTTCGCTTTATAAGAAAGTCGCGGGAGACCTTGGAAGCGTCCCAGAAAGAGAGAGAGAGATCCAATCCTCGGATGGAGGGTGCCGAAATTGAGAAACAGGGGTGAAGGACGGAGGAAAGGAAAAAGGAGGCGCGAGCGAAAGAAAAGAGAAGAGGGTGATTGGAGAGAGAGACGAAATAGGAGAAGGGAACGAAGGAGGTTGGAGGAGTGGAATGGAGAAGAAGCAGCATACGGTAGGACGTGGACGATGACGTAAAGCATGCTTAGCGGGCGGAATGCGGGATACAGAACGGAAATGAAGAATTATTGCGGGAAGAAGAGGTTGAAAAATTTATTCCGCGAGGAATATGATTTATGGGATTCCGTAGGAGTGAAAGAATCGCAAGGGGAATAATTTAGTCGGCGAATTGTAGTTTTTGTAGTTCCAAGTTCGAGACGTTTTCTTGAGAAGTTTTTATAGTTGTGAAATTTGAGATATCGAGAAAGTGACATTTAAAGATGTATAATAGTAATTATATGATCATGAAGAAATAATTTTTTTGATTTGACTTGATTAAAGGATGTTAATTGCGAAGAATTGTTCTTGAGAGCGTTAGAAGACGCAGGGTATTTTCTTGTTTTCTTCGAATTCTAAGACAAAAAAAGGACTGCTTTTATTCGTGGAAACAAAACACCAGTCCTCCAGAAATCGTACTGTCAATACAAAATAAAGTTTTTGCAGGAATGCGATATTGGACTTATTATTATCGTTGTTTGAAAGTTGATTTGCTCGCAAAGATGAATAAAATGTCCACGTTTTTGTCTTTCTCCACCGTGTTTTCGAGACTTCTATAAGGGTTGAATACGGGGTACAATAAAACGCAGATGCCAAATTCAAGAGAGCCACTTTCGCCGATCTTTATTTTCCTGTTTCGTCTCTTTGTTCCTAGACTCCTTTTTCTTTTTTATTTTTCTTCCTTTTACTGCTTCGTTTCTCCCTCGAATTTCATCATTCAAACTTAATAAGGGAGCAACGTCTCCAATAATCCACTTGAAGGTTAACAATACAATTCTCTCCAAATATTTTTCCAATTATCATTTTCTTTCTTCACTATCGTCCCTCAAAAAAATCCACACAAAAAGGAATCGCCAAGTTTTACTTAAATATTTTCAGAACTACTATTTTCATTGTTACTACCAAAACGATTATTATTCTCTGTTCGAAAAAAAAAAAAAAAAAAAAAAAAAAA